TCGAGAGGAGGAATATCGTCTGTCGATGGCCCGTTATGTGTACGACTGTCCGTACTGTCGCAACGGACATCCTAAATATCTGTATGGAAAATGGTCCCTAATAGGAGAGTAGTCTGACCGTTCCACATCAATGACGTGTTGGAAATGAGTCAAAATTAAGCGGCGGTTGCAGGACTTGCGCTCACTTGCAAAGTGCGAATCTACTCTCACTTATCGACCCACATGAATGACGTGTAGACAATAAGTCGGCGACGGTTGCAGGACTTGCGCTCACTTGCGAAGTGCGAATCTCTCTCACTTATCGACCCACATGAATGATGTGTAGAAAATAAGTCGGCATTAGATGACGGTTATAAAACTTGCGCTCTCTTGCGATGTGTGAACCAATTCCCAATTATTGAACCCTTTTGTGCGTATCAAGATCCTGTGTTTACCGCCATCTGGATTATTCAGCCTCCGGACCTCAGGAAGTGACTCTGTGCAACAGGAAGACGAGATATGTGTTCGACTGCCCTTACTGTGATGCTGGACATCTACATCTTCACTAGCGGCGTTCTGAATTACTTGTTTCGTGTTTTCTCTAGTGCGAATAGACTCGCACTATGCTTACAGCCCGTTGAATTCTATGTTCGCCCCCTTACTTATCTCTCGTTCATCATGCCCCATCCCCTTCGGTATACCCCGTTGCATGACAAACTGTCTATCTAATTACGAGTTCGTTCGCACCTTGCTAACATCAATCGGTCTCAACTTTGTCGTTTACCCACCTCTCCGTGTATGACAAGGTGGAATGTTTGACACCCGCAAGGACGCTGTTCTCTCTTCTGATGCAGGATGTCGTATGGAAGTTTCAGTGGGACGGTCGTTGTTAGAGACCTCGGCTACTGCGAAAGTCTGCGAAGTGCAGTTGTTGACGCAGCTGAGAGCATTTATGATTTAGAGTGGTTTGGCAACATTGAACTTCCCAGATACCGCTACCTTCCGGTCCCCGAAGACGTTTGCGCTCGTGTCTAACTCTCTGTTTTGCCCCCGCCCACCCCAGCTTTTCAGTACATTGTCATGGCCACACTACGCGACAGGCCCATCTTCAGAATTGATTTCTACATTGCGTGCGAAGGGGAGTCGATAAGCTGCTTGTATTATTCGTACGTAACCAGCACATCTTTCGATAGAATGCCAGAAGGTTGTGAGCCTGCCATTACGTTTTTCTTATCGATCGTCATCATGCATATCGCCGCGTGCTTGGATGGAGAATTATTCCTTGTATCCGGCGTGAGAGAAGATGATGACAGTCCACCATTCTGGGGAGACCGTTGTCCATTCAAAATCCGTCACTGGAGCAATTTGAATCAAGATTTAAGAGAGATACCCATGCTGCCGGATATCGAAGCAGATCTTTAGGCCCGAATTCCCGGACCAAGTCCTTTTAATCGAGTTCAACATAAACGAATGCAACGACGACGATCGATGGAGGCTGCTCGAAGACTGTACATGCTTAGCCTGCTACCATGAAGATCGTACTAACTTTTTTTACGCGACGCATGCTACGAAGATACTCATCGTCGCATGATATTCGGATTCTATATGCGAATAGACTCTCATCTATCACCTCACTCCTTTTGCAGTGGGTCTGGCCCTATCACGTTGTGGACATCATGTCGGGCTTGGATGAGCTTCTATGTGGGACTTGTGTAGGCAGGTGAACATCGTGTCGGGTTCGAATGACCTTTTGTCTAATGCATGACTTCGGCATGAATCAGCGTTTGTGTAGGTCTTCGGCTTGAATCAGCTTTCGTGTAGGTCTTCGGTTGAACTTATATTCAACATGTTCGTATTAGAGGTAGGGTTTGTTTCATGTGTAATGCAGGACTTTCCGGCTTGTGGCGAAGAGGGCGAGTCATATAGACTGTACGGAAGCGTCTTCTGTAGATAAGGGCATGTCATGTAGACTATACGATGTGGGCTTGAATGATTTTTGGAATGCCTACATGTGCCTTAGAACATGTCCTTCAATGATTTTTGGAAAGGCTCCATGTACTTTGTGAATTTTGGAAAGCTTCCGTGTACTTTGCAATTTTGTATTGAATTGTTTTTGAAAACGTCTCTGTGTACTTTGCAATTTGCCATTGAATGATTTTTTTGCATTGAATGATTTCTGGAAACTCTCCTTGTGGTGTGCAACTTCACCTTTAGAAAAACACTAGGCAACTTGAAGGCGATGACAAGAGTTACTTATAGGAATGGATATATATCTTCTTCACACAAAGATTTGATGACATGTTCACCGGGTAATATACAAATGACAAGCCAACGTCCATATTAAATCATCGCGCTGATGGTGTGCGCACCTGCTTCTCCATCTAAGTGCGAGTTCATTCCCACTTCTGGTGTGAACCCCGAGCAATTCCCACGCACTTTGCTTCAACTTCACCTTTACAAAAACAACTGGCAACCTGCAAATGTTTCCCTCTCTCCGTTTCTCCCGACTTCCGCAATAGTGACCTTGCAAATGTTTCGATCTCTCATCTTCATGTGATGGGATGCATGCATGTTTTCGATAAAAAAAATGATCATGTCAAGGAGGGGATCGAACGAACCGCCGGTAAGCACTTGCACATCATGAAGCAAGAGCACGTCCCAATTGGAATATCGTCGGGTTCTTGCGATGTCGACTCCCGCATAGTGACTACACTGAACAGCGGCAGGATGACCGGTCTGCCTCTCCGATGTGGATCTAACGGTGGATTGCGTCAAATCTGCTCTCATAGATCCACACCGGGGATGGGGGCGGGGATCCGACCACAGTTTGTTGCAAGGCATCATATGATGTGTCGATATAACCGACATCCAGAACTGCTTGGTGAGCATCTAGTGCTACGCCAATAAGTTCAAAACAAGGTCGCAAAGTCCCCTAAGAATGTTCATTGTCGGTTCCTCACGTCGTCGATTCCCACGTGATGAGTACAGTAAACAGCGGCAGAATGGCAGGTCCCCCTCGCCGGAATGGATCTAACGGTGGATTGCGTCAAATCTGCTCTCAAAGATCCACACCGGATAGAAGGCCCTGCAAGCAGCCGCTGCTTGCTTGTAAGCATTATATGATGTATCCATACGATCGACATCCAAAACTGTTTGGTGAGCATCTAGTGCTACGCCAAGCAGTTCTGAACACGGTCGCAAGGTCCCCTAAGAATGCTTTTAGCACTAGAGACCTCAAACCGCCGACTGTTTGGCACTTCGTGAAGGTGGTCATTTGAACCGATGCAGAAGGCTCGTGATCACTTCCATTGCTTGTATACGTGCCGATGGGTGCTCGACGTTGCATACATGTAGTGTTGTTTGACACTTCCTTACGGTGCTCTGTCGAACACCGATAACCGCGAATTGACACGTTGTTCAACTAGAGTCTCTCTCTCTCCTGCCATGCCCGTTGATGTACCTCTCGCCCGACTGGGTGCAGTGCGGTCGTGCGGTGGTGGTCGTGTTCAACAAGACGTTCGTCATCGGAGTTTCGACGGACATCCTTGGGGGGCATGGTTATTTTCTTTCCCTGTGAGCTGGGTGAAAGCATTTGCTGATTTTTTTTTATTGTGGCCTGCAGGGCATTTGCCGATCGCGATGACCATGTCGGAGTGGATTACCCCGGGTAATTGGCGTGAGCGCATGGCTGCGCGTCTCGTTCACCCTTTTCCCTCATGCGGGCTGCGCGTCTCCGGTAGTGGAGACTCCACTGTTATTGACGGTGCGACAAGAGACGACTTGGAGTGTGATCCTTGGATGAAGGTCGTCCCGTTCACTGATGCCCCACTGGACTCGTGGAAAGAGCATGAATGGGACAAAATGCTCAGTCAGTGTAAGTGGGTGGACGACTACAAGTTCGTTAACATGTGCGAGTTTGGGAGTTTCATTCCCGTGCCTAGAGTTGTGCTGGCTTCAGTTCGGTGTCGTCGCTTGAGTGCAAAGCTGAATATTCCTCGTCATCAAAATGTGTTGGCCTGCAGTGTCGTGACTGGTTCGCCGCGCACATGGTCCCGTGCGCTGAAACACGAGTTGCTTGCCTCTGCACGGCATTCCCAGTTCCTCGATCAGTACCCGTTGCGCTCTCCAGGGTTGTTGCCTCGAGCAGTTTCCTACTGCTGCGTTAGATTGCGTCTCCAAAAGGTATTCTTATCTAGGGTCCTTTGCGTCACGTGTTCAAATCGGAATAGGACCTTGACTGACGCTGTGGTCTGCGTGTCCAGGAATGAGTTGCACCTCGGGAGAGATAGAATACGAAGGGACATGGGATTTGGTAATCGGGGGTAAGGTGGACGAATTGGACGCTTGGCGTGAGGTTGAAGCTCAAGCGTCCTCTATATGGGATGCTATAGGCACGTCTCTGGCCGGAAGGACCGGGTTCGTTCGCCTGAAATATATTTCGATGTTCGCGGAAGATGCTCCAATTGATGCACCGCAGTGTCTTACGTTCGGGTCGCCTGTTCGAACTTTGAATGAACGCATGTACACACCGGCCTGTCGTCATCGGTAGAAGTGAAAGTTATGAACGGATGTTATGTATCGTGTCCATGCAAAAAAAATGACGATAATGTCATCAGGGAATACAAAAAGGACACGCCGATTTTCTTATACATTACACACATAAGGTCATGGTGTGCGCACCTATCTCTCCATCTAAGTGCGAGTACACTCACACTTGCAGTGTGCACCTTGAGCATTTCACTTCAGTGGTGTGACCACCTAGCTCTCCATCTAACTGCAAGTTCACTCGCACTTGTGCTCTGAACTCCGAGCAATCCGCTTAAGTGAATGTCATGAATCTATGTTGCGAAAGATTTGATAACATTTTCATCCGGTAATATACAAATGACAAGCCAGTATCCATATTTAATCATCACTCTAATGGTGTGCGCACCTGCCTCTCGAGTTCACTCGCACGTAAGTGAGAGTTCACTCGCACTTTGCTTATGTGAGAAGCTTGTCGATATATAGTGCGGGGCGTGACGATTGAGTGTTGGCCGCACCAGGGGACTTATCATTGACCAACTTCATTTACGATGGTCTACACGTCCGTATGTGTCGTTTGTGTGTCCGTGATGTGTAGGGAGCGTAATGTCGTTGAGACCTTCGACAAGCGTCAGCATGAGTCCTGAGATGCACATGCGCTTGAGTCCCGAGAAGCACATGCGGTTAGCAAGACCGTTTTCACCTTGTGCGAGATCGGTGCGGCATCATGACGGTCAAACGTGGATCGGCGAAGCACCCAAGGAGGACTTCGACGAGGACCCATGGACGACTGTCGTCTCGTACATGAACCGGCATCTCAACGAATGGAACGATAATGATTGGAAGGCGATGGAGCGTGCCTGCCCTTGGGCAAACCATTGCAAGTTTGCCAACATGTTAGAGTTCGGGAGCCTCATTGCACTGCCTGATGGTGTCCTCCACCGAAAGACCCTGGACGATAAGGGTAAACCGATTCGCTACCGTACCAGCTTTAGACGTCGCCTCCACTGCGAGTACATCACATCTTCGCCACAAACTTGGGGAAGTTCGCAGAAGCAAGAGTTGGTGGATTGCGTTCGTCATTGTTCATTTTTGGAATACTACCTACCCCGTTGCCCAGGGACTTCTCCACAAGCTATATCGTATTGTTGTGTGCGGTTGACTGATGACGGATGTCCTTTCGCCAGAGTGCTATGTGTGGCTTCTTCAGACAAAAGTAGAAAACTCGTGGATGCAGTTGTGCTCATGTCACGGAATGAGATGGTACAACATGATTACAAATTCAAGTCGGTGATGTCTCGCCCCGATGTAGATGGGCGGTCAGATTTCGTGAGAGCAGGTCAGGTTACATGTTTCAAATTGTTTTATAAGGTGGAAGAGAAAGTGTCCGACATACGAGACCGTATAGGGAATTCCTTAGCACGACCCGGAGGGTTTGTTAGGATGAAATACATGTCCGTGTTTTCGGAGAATGCAACAGTCGACGAGCCGCAGATCCATGTGTATGGATCATCTATGAATGCTATGTATGGCTTCCATTCACGACCTCGTCCGCGGGAATCCCCGTATGTCACAAGATACGGATGTGTGGTCAGACCTTGTGTTTAAGGGAAAACATGTTAAAATACAATCTTGTGGAACATGATGTGCATGTGCATGTGCACCTTGAAATGGTGGATATGAAGTAGTAGATAGAGGTGCGAGAGGCAATAGTTGCAATAGGTGCGAGAGGAAACATGCGATTGACTGATTTTTTGCTTTGAATGTTTTTCCGGAAACAACCCCTGTCTACTTTGCAATGTGCGGTTCAGTGATTTAAACATTTCTCACAACTCTGCGTGCGGTGTTTCCATCTACGAAGGTGCAATGTTAGGAAAACACTATGCAAGTTGCGAGTGTTTCCATCTCCACGTTGCGGTGACAAGAGTAAATGTTCTAAATGGATGTTATGTGTCTTGTCCATGCAAAGAAATGACACGCCGATGACCTTGCAAGTGTTTCGATCTCTGATGTTCATGCCATGGGATGCATGAATGTCTTACAGTCCTATACATGCTCATGTCAAGGAGGGGATCGTTGTTTGCGATGACAAGAGTGAATGTTAGGAATCTATGTTATTGATTTGTCCATGCAAATCACAAGCCAGCATCCGTATTACATCACCGCGTTGATGGTGTGCGTTCATGTTGTCCATCTAAATGAGAGTTCACTCCGACTTGTGGTGCGTACCCCGAGTAATCTGCTAGTTATCCATACAAATGTCCAAGAACTGATAACCTGCGGGATCTGGAGTTCAATTTTGTTTCTTGAGTGCGAAACTCTGCTCGAAACAGATCCAAATCCAACAAGAAGTCCCACCACAGACCATCAAACCCTGCCCCGGTGGCGGACTTCAGCATCCAAGACTGCCTTGCAACTGCTAGCCTGCGGCAAGCAAATCCACACCCAGCATCAAGGTTCTCTTTGAGTGTGTGGTCATCCACACATACAGCCAACGACTGTTTGACACTTGTTGATGGTGCTCAGTCACTAAACTGATATCTACGAATTGATTTGCTATTCAACTAGAATCTGTCAATGCCTTTCCGGGTTAAAGCAAGGAGCTCTCTCTCTCTCTCTCTCTCTCTCTCTCTCTCTCTCTCTCTCTCTCTCTCTCTCTCTCTCTCTCTCTC